TCTCTCTCTCAACGATAAGAGATACAAGTCTATTCGCTGCTACGCAGACACGACTCCAACACTCTCCCATCTAACACAGGAGATGCAAAACACTCTCTCCTGCTACTGGGTCCGACTATCATCATGTCCAGACCACACCACTGTCCCAGACAGGGCCTGTAACACGACATAGCCTAGTCAAACCTCCTCTTACAAGGCTCGAGACATTCTTCCTCTCTCGCTCTCAGGGAATCCTCATTCCTCATGAGAACACCCAGCTCATTCCACGGTGTTTGACTAACATCGGCCCGAGACGATGTTACAGTAACGGGCGGGGCCCGCAACACGCCCACCCTTAAAGGAAAAATTTTGGAAGTCTTATAGACTTCAAAAATTTTTAAGTAGCAAGAGTGACTCCCTGGCCCGCAACAAGCAGTCGGCCACCATCTTCTCGGCCCTCTCGACCACGAAACAGGCCTATTCCCCGGCATGGTCCATAAAAGGAACCTGCCATGTGCACTCTTACCAAGCACACCTTTTCCACGGCCATGTCCTCTCCCACGGCCATAGGAATTCTCAGACTGGAATTCACGAGGAAGCAGACCCTTCGTGCACCCAGGATGTACTTCTGCTTCAGCAGCGTTCACACATGCCTCGGGAGCCTGCTCTGGTCTTTCGGCAGAAGTGTCAAAGTGTTTCGTAGGGGGGACGTTCAGCGGTTCCTCAATCTGGTCGCGGTTAGAGCTCCAGATGGAATAAACAGAGCCTTCACGCTTATACCTAGGCTTCACCCCAGTGATAACCCCTTCACTTTGACAGTGAAACTTCTTCTGCACTCCTTCCAGGTACTGCAGCCTCTCCCTAAGCAGCACGCCGCACTGCCCCCAGTGCTCTGCGGGAACCACCAGATCCGAGCCAGAAACCTCGGTGGTCTCCTCCCCTGGGGCAAAGTCATAATACTTGACCTTCGGGTCATAGTATCTCCTTCTCTTCTTTGACGCAGCTCCAAGATGGTGCGGAGCAACTTCCAGCGCCTTCACCAGTCCTTCCCGAGTACTTAACTCGCTCTTCGAGGGCAACTCGGGGCGGTCCGAGTGGGGAGCACTCCAGGCTTCCCGAGCTAAGTCCAACGGACCGCGCACCCGGTGCCCAAACACCAGCTGATTCTGGACCCTGGTGAAAGGATCCACAGCGGGAATAGGATGCAGGGGTGCCATAGGGGGAATCCGGTTGGGTTTGCCCACCATCTGACCGGTGTGGCAGCCCTTTACCAACTCCATAACATCTCCGGCCATACCAGGCCACCAGAAGTTGCCCCACAGGCGGGCGAGAGTTTGGCCAACAACCAGGTGTCCAGCCCGAGGTCCCACATGTGCTAACAGCACCAGGGCTTCCCTTAAATCCCGAGGCACTACCACCTGTAGCACTTCGTTCCCATCACTCTCCCTCGACCTGCGGTGCAACACCCCCGTCTGCAAGAGAAACTTCTCGGCTCCCCTTATCTCCTTTCCTACCTTAACAAAACAAGGGGCTAACTCGGGGTCCCCTTTCTGTCCCTTGATGAGCAACGCCGGCTCAAGGCAAGTTAGATCTTGCGGGACCAGAGGATCTGTCGGACGGGACGGTGCCGACACTTCCCTGGTTCTGTCCCGCGGCCTGAGGCGTGGTGTGGACTCCTCCTCCACCTCCTCATCAGCCGAAGTGGATGGGCCCTCCAGGTGGGCCTCACCCGTCAAACAGTCACCAGACAAGGGAACAGCCTGTTCCCTGTCTCCGGTACACTCCGCAGGGGTGGGAGCCTCCAACTCCCCCGCAGAGTTGGAAGTCTCCCCTCCCTCAGAGGTGACCCCCAACAAACTGTCCAACATACCAGGCTGGGGCCCGGACTGAGTACCGAGACCGCCAGCCTCACAACCAGGAAAC